CTTTCCAGTGACCACTTGTCACTGCACAGGACATTGAGATTATCCATGTACCTTGTTTCTGCCTCACTTCCCACAGGCATCTTCACTTTGCTGATCCCAGGATCTCATCAAGGCACCTATAACAGACTTAAAGCACTTGGACAAGACTTTAGCCATCAGTTTATAGTTGAAGTTATGAGTTTCCAGTTCTTCAAATCCACCCTCACCCTTTCTTATAAAGAAGGATTATGAGGCCCTGATGCATCCCAACCCCACAGGTGGCCCTCCTGTAGCTGGTCTCTATATACCTCCAGCAGGTCCAGGCCTACCTGGTCCCAGAAGGTGACATTGAACTCCATCTTCTCCAGGAGTCTTACTGTTCTTGAAGCTGTGGAAAGTCTTGGTGACTTCCTCTAGTGGCCACTCCTCCATCAACTTCTGGTTCTCCTCCCTCCACAAGGACCTGGGTGACCTCCTGCAGGCCCCTGGGTCCCCTGGGCATGTGTATACAGATTCTAGTAGAAGGCTGCTGCCATGCCTAGCATCCCTTCATTCAACTGGTGCTCCATTCTCACTCTGTCTACCAGGCTGGTCATGGCTTCCCTCTTGGCTTTCTTTAACCTGCTGAAGTAAACAGATCACTGTTTCCCCTCTTTCTTTCAGAGGCTCTGGGCCTGTTCCCTATACCAGGCTCCAGTCTGAGCTTTTATCTCCCACTTGGTGTCCTTCACATCCCAGCCCCAGGCTATCTGCTTGTGCAGGCTCCACAACTTGCAATTTAGGCATTCATAGTACCTCCTCTAAAATAAAGTTCACCTCCTGCTGGCCTGTTGGAAGAAGGCTCCCGCTCTGTCTTTAACACTGGCCCACCACCCTGTGTGGTTCCAGTACCCAGCTCTGAGGATCCTCCATCCTGCATAGCACATTATGAACTCCCCCTGAATCTTTTCATTATCCAGGAGGCTCACATTCAACTTCCACGCACGTCTGCTCTTCTCAGGCTACCTCCCATCTCTACTTTCACTGTCAGGAGGCAGTGATCTGTTTGACAGGTGTGGATTTGGCGTTCACTACTGTCCACCCTGCAGGAAGGAAGACGAAGTCTATGTGTGACCTTGTCTGTCCTGTGGTGTCCACCTGGGTGAAGTTTTCCCTGGGTCCTTGGGCTCCCTTGCTCACATCCATCAGGCTATGGTCACAGGCAAGCTTCCTCAACAGCCTGGAGAATCTATCCAAGCCTGTCTTTTGTCCTCTGCTTATTCTGTCTCCCTCTTTGATGATGTCATTGAAATATTTTATGATCACCACTGGCTGGGTACTGGCCTTTGCCACAGTCATGTTCTCTAGAAAGGCACACCTGGCTTTTTCTTTGCTTGCTGGGGCAAATTTCCCTCCCCTTGTTTCAAAGGTGGCCTGTAATGGCCGCCTGCAGTAATCTCCCTGTGCTGTAGACGTCTCACTTTTTCTCCTTGCAGCAGGATAGCCATGCCTGTTGATCTATTGTCATTTGTTACTGACCCCAAGGAGAAGCCATGTGGCCATCATTTTTCAAACGAAGTATAATTTTTAGAGCTGGACAAGCCACATTCCACAACACACATGATATCTGCTTGCAACTAGTCCAGGCACTGGCATATAGTGTCCCATTTTATTTTCTTTATCAGGCTCCATACATTTACTGAAGCTATTAGGATTGCCATGATAAAAGCTGTGATTTGGGAGGCGGGCAGTAGGTGGCACTTGATTTTTTTAAAATATATTTTGCTTGGAACTACATACTTTTTAATTAAATGAAAACTGATAATTTGATGAACATGGAACCATATTGATGAATGTACGAAAAAGTCATATCGCCATATACTGGTCAAATGAGACCCTGCTTTCCCCAATCAACCAATTTTTTTCTGATTAGCAGTAAACACCAGTCTTCTGGCTGCTCACTTTCTTTTCCTCAGATGTTTCGTGCATATATACTTTAATCTTTTTCACTTTCTACATGTATAAAAACAAATTTGAATTGGTTTATATGTGTCTATTGGCAATGCGTAGGGGGTGCACATGGGTGTATATGCCCCCCCTAAGATTGGCGGCGGCCTCTGCAGGTGGTTGCTGACTGCTCATCACTGCCCACCGTCCCCCCTACCCCTGTTGCTGACGCTGCTGTGGCCGCCTGCAGGAGCTCCCCACTCGCCACTGCCATGCCCACTGTTTCCGTCACGTGCGGGCAGTCACCATGCCCCCCACAGCCTCCAGGGGCATATGTCATTTATGTATGTGTCTGAGAACATATCAAATGAATTATCTCTAGGAACAGCATGCTCATAAGCCAGGACCTGCAGGCTTGTTAGCTACACAGGACATTTTTACACATGTAAGTGCTGCAGCGCTGGGTGCTTTGAAATGCGCCCAGTGCTGTGACACTTTCAGTTGTATAAGTGGTGAAATGTGTGTCAGCACTGAGAAAATGGCAGCGGCATGCTTTTGAACTAAAACACATTATAGGTGCTTTAATTCAAAAGTGCACCACCACCATTTTCTGTGCGCTGGTGCACATTTCGCTATTTATACTACTGCATGTGGCACAGCATAGTCCACCTCAGTTTGTGCGCAGAGCAGACTCAATTAATAGAGTCTGCTTGGAAGCAGCAGCTCTCCAGCACGGCGCAGGACACGAGTCTACACGAGCATGGCCGTGTCTACATGAGACAGTGTCATGTGGCAGAAAGCCTGATGCAATGCTATTGTGCAGTAGTCTTGAGCTACTGCACAGTCAGCACCATGAAAAAGCTGTTTGGCGACACAACTGCGCAGTAACTCCAGCTACTGTTGATCTTTGTACAAGTACTAAGTGACTGCACAGTAATGACTGTGCAGTCAGAATCTCATACAGACATGGCCAGGGTGTATTCCTACCTGAGTTTAAGCAATTAAATAGATTTTTAAATGATTATTTCTATTTAGAAGCCTGACTTTGCTACATCTCTGGGGTCAAGCTAGGATAGTCTAACAGGGAACCAGTGAGAAGTAAAAGGCTCTTCTTTCTAAACTTAGGTGTACTGTGACCTTTCCTAAATCCAAATAGTGAAAATATACACACTATTGTATGGTCACCTGCTTCTTCAAGACTCTTAAATGCATCTTTCTCTTTCACCTGTTTCCCCCCACCCAGCAGACCCTATTACTGGATGGGTGGTTTTGTTTAAATCATGTTCCTGACTTTATATATCCCTACCCTGAGACTGGCATAAACTGCAGCCTTTTTTCTGCTCTCTTTGCCTTTTTTTATATCCCAGCTAGTTCATGAGATCCGCCCTCAACTCCATCAAGGCACAGATGTCTGTCTAGCCCCCACCTCCTTTTCTCCTCAGAATTAAAACAGTCCCAGCAGCCTGAGCCTCATTCTCTCCTGGAGCCCTACATGGGGAGAAAGAATACAGCCTTCATCTTTTCCTGCTTTCTTTGAGGGGGCTAATGACAGGAGATCACAGGGCATAAGTATACCCCCCAAATACTCACATGAGAGAGCTGAAGAAAACCAGCAGAGAAAATGAAAAGCAACTGGTAAGGGAACAAGGGACACTTGTAAGAGATCAGTAGTTAACAAATGAGAGCATTTAAAATTGTTTTTACCAGCTGTCTTCTCTATTTTTATTTTCATGACAGTTTTATATGTAAGATATGGAAACTGAGACAACATCATAGACACATTTTGTTGTACTGACAAAGATAAAAAGCTTTGCTCTAAAAAGGTTTTCTTGCCAACTGTGCTAGTAAATCTCTAATTCATGTTTTTATGTATTTAATGTACATGACCATGAGATGAAAGTTGATCACAGAATCTATCAGGAACTGTAAATTCATGTTTAATTTTTTTTTACAGGCATCTTCCAGCTTTCTTGTACATGTGTAGTTTTCTGGGGTCTTTGGTGTCAGCTACCATTCAGCATCAAACAAGTAAGGGTATAGCCTATATCTGTATTGTATTTCACTGGGACCTTGACCATCACAATTTACTCTGTACTTAGTTAGTAACTTCATTTAATTATGGAACTAAATAAATGTGTATGTGAGAAAGAGACTGTTATTTTGGGTTATCAGTTAGGTTTTACACTTTATTTCTTTCCATGGTTTCCTAGTCATTCTGGTTTATCTTCCTGCTTTCTAAGCAGAGTAGGGTATAAGCACATTTCTAATGTTAGGATCATAGTCTGGAAATAGATGGTAGGTATGGGATGCATTCTTCTGCACCTCTAGTTAGATGTTCTTCTAGTAGATGTGGCAGAACACTGGGTCCACTCTATTAGCAGGGCATGGAGGATAAATGACTGGATGTCAGCCACATATCTGTTTAAATAATATAGACTAAAGCCATTTCTAAGGTGTAAAATGTCAACTCACCATTTCCTTTACGTCTATGCTATGAGAAGGAAACTCACTTTTATGGTTGAGTCCTTGCAGAATACAAGAGGCTCTCTGTAGGCTGGGAAGGCATGTCCTTCCAACTTGTACACCCCTTTCTTCCCTATCCAGAATCTACTAAAATTTTCCAGATTGCCTTGGTGCTGGGCTTGGGCAAAACTCTTAAATGATTTTGAGTAAATGTTTACTTTTCTGCTTTCCATCTTTAAGATTGGGGGCTGGGGTTTCTTTCAGTGATGCCTTTATACAGATAGCATTTTAAAAACTGAGCTCTGTGTTTAGCTTCCCAAGAGAATTTCTTTTACGCTCTTGTTCATGTTCATAAAAAGAGCCTGTAAGTCCCTCTGGCCCCCACCCAATGCTTCCCCAGGGCTTGTTATGTGATAAAACATGGCAAAGATGAGGTTGGGAATACCTGGAATATCAAGGAGGGAGGAAGGGATGCCAATAGCATTACTTCTCAACAGCTACCTTAGCTGGCATAAAGTTTGTCTGAGTTTGCTCTTAATTAGGGATGATGTGGATTCAGCTATCTAGCATTTATTTAAGTTTGCCTAAACCACCAGAATTTATGAACCAGTGCCTCCATATATCACAAACTTCTTTTTGCTGGGACAGCTGCTGCTTAAAAGTAGAGTCGGAGCAGGAAGAATTACGACGTCTTTATACATTAAAGATTTAAGAAAAAATGTAAAAATAAACAAAGTCAAGTGATATTAATAAATTGAAAACCTTTATTAGCAGATGCTATCATTTTAGGCCACAGATCTCAACTTTAATTTCAGGCAGTGATGAAAACGGATTACAAGTTTTCTCTTTTTTGCAGGATTTCCAGTCACCTTCGCTTCTAACCAAAAGACTGATCTCTGCCCAACAATCAGGATTGGCCAAGATGACTTGCCAGGCAAGTAGAATCTTCATTTTACAAGTTAAAAGACTGCTTTTTAGAAGTGATCAGGCTATATTCAGCTTTGTGATGCTTCAGTGGTCAAATGGAAATTCTGGATGTGTGTGTTTGGTTTTTGTAGGTTATGACCTGATTTCTCAGTTCCAGATAGATAAAGCTGCCTCCCAAGGAGTTATCCAGAGAGTGGTAGGCTCCACAGCTTTACAGGTGGCTTATAAATTTGGCAGCAATGTCGACTTCAGGATCCCAACCAGGTAATACATTTGGTTGTTTTACTTTAAAAGAATATTTTAGCATATTATCTACTGCATATTATCCTACAAGTAAGATTGATACCAGTTCTTTAGCTGGATTTAGCAAAGCTTCTGGAATGAGTACAGTTTATCCTATTCATCTTTTTGGTTTCAGGTGATGATACTAGATTATATTGACCTGCTAGAAACAGGGATCTCTCCCATCTCTCTTTTCCTACCAGGTGTACTGCTCAGCAAGACTGGAATTTTGCTGCTTGAAATGCTCAGTAGCTAGAGAGGAGCTGGGGAAGGGAGCGAGGCAGAAGGAAGATTCCTTGGGTGAGAAAGGTTCATAACATGTATGCAGAGATAATGGTCATCAAGTGAGGGCATCTTTGTTTTGATGGATGGTCACGGGACAAAGTAAGAAGGGTGACTGACTACACAGCAGTTTAGTCTCTTTTGGGTAGGGTACACACCTTCTTACCTGTCAGTGTCAATAATATGAGCTAGAGAAATTGAAAACCACTATTCTGTGTATCCCAGATTGCAATGGGAAATTGGATTTTGAGATCCACTCACATTTGCATGTTATGGATTGGAACCTTAGTTAGAAATGACCTCTGCCTAGCATAGGACCAGAAATGATATAGGGGTAAAGAGGGCTGGGAAAAACCAGGGCTATTTTAGCTGGTTTTCCTAGCTAGTACAACCCCTCAAGGTGCTTTTATGTAGCTAGGGATCACTAAAGATCAAGGTGCTACTGTCACATCAGAACTGGCTCAGATATTTCCTATCCTGCTCCAATATACCTTGGCTGCTATGTTCTTAGCTGGTAGATTGAAAGCTTTTTTACAGTTTAGCTGGCTAAACTGGATTTATGGAAACTTTACAGCATTATACCAGTACAAAATAGTTGATGTGCATAGGTAAATCTGGTCCTTAATAGCTATGACAAACATGGAGCCTTGGGCCATTAAAAAGGGATGATTCATAGCTTGTCAATGGGGTACAGAACTCCTTTTTTCTCTGAAGATAGCCAGAGTTTTTAGGCTTCAGAGTTGTTGAAATGTTATATAAAAAGTTATTTTAGGTCATTCAAATATATTGGTGTAGAGATGATTTAGGGGGGAACCTATGGGTAACTAAGGGCTTGTTCCACTGCAGTGTTAACTTATGGTAACTCAAATGTCATCTGTGACCTGACTCTTTGTCGAAATGCAAAAATCTTTAGCTCATATTATGTAGTGCTCTTAGCTCAAACTAGCTGGTCTATTGTGGGAGCTTGGCTGAAAGTTGAGTGCTCTTGGCATGCAGTATAGTAATACTGCTACTCATTCCTGATACTCCAATCCTTCTGTGCAGGTCTGGTGCTATTTTGCAGTTCTTTACTCTGACTTGTGCTAAGCTAATTCAAAATGAGTTAATCTGAGCAAAGAGAACTCAAGCTAACACTACAGTAAAGGCATGCCCAAGGACAACACAAAGTTCCAGTGAAGGTCTAAAAAAACTCCTCTAAAAGTTGTCTATAATGTGGTGTGGTATATGGCTTTTATTGGCATGAATTTTGGGTGGCTGAATTATGCAAGAGCATTAAGGCAGTGAGCAAGCTATGCATACCACCCCAAATCTACCCCAGATGAAACTGAAATGTCTTTGATGTGACCTGCATAATTCTGCCTTTGTCAGTCCTGTGTAATTCAGCCATCCCAAATTCCTCCTTAGACCTCACCACACTATTACTTATTCATATATAAAATGTTTAATAATATTTTAAATATTTGCTTGGGTAAACCAGCCAATGATTACTTCCCAGATGTTGGAAGAGTATTTTCTCATGCACACTCCTTTTTCCTGTGATCTGTCTGGTTTTGCATTGAAAGCTGCACTGTCTTCTTTGCTTAGGAAAAGACTACAGGCAATCATTGAATGCAGGGCCACCTGGTGGCTCTACTGAGTTATAGCAGTGCTGTTTATTTGCAAAGGTGCTGAAATGCAGCCACAAGTGGCCTTGGTAGGCTTGATCCTGCACTCATTACTCGGTGTGTAAAGATAACTTAATATCCACCTAATGAATTGCATCCATTCTACACTGTCCTGGCATGAAGCATAATTGGGCTTTTAATTCTCTGAGTCAAAGCCCAAACTACATAGCCCAGCTATGGCTGACTGGTGAAAAACAAAGGATCTTGAGGCAGCCCTAATCAAAAGAGCAAAGCTGCCAGGTGAGCCACCTCAGTCAGTAACTACATCAAACAGTTTCCTGTTCAATATCTGCTCTTTTCCTGGAATCCATTTACATGCTTCAATTACTGTGTTGCTTTCTTGGTACACGATTATGAAACTGAATTGTACCACAGAAACTGTGATCAGCTTGCTTCATGTAGTACGGAGGATCACCCTCACAGAAAATGTTTCTTGGGGTGTAGCACATGAAAGTCACTGAGGATCTGTACAGGGCAGAGATGTGGGGAGAGAGGAAAGTGCTACTAAGCCCGTTATCAGTGGGTAGGATGTGACCCTTAATATCCAACTAATGCTTACCAGCAAAAGGCGATTTTTTTCAGGTTAAAGAGTGAACACTACGGTCTCCTCCATGTACTGGAGCATTTTATAATAGCTGCAGCATGGGCGTAAAGGCTCTGTCAGAGCAGTGTTATTTTGCACATTTATTCAGCCTTTCCTTGAGGAATTTAATATGCCTTTTCACAGAGATCCTTTAAAAAACTTATGAATTTTTATACCACATCCTTTGGCAGTTGCCAAATTCTCCACTGTTAATTACACAAGACAATTAATGATGAAGGGTATGATTGGGGTAGCAAGAGCTAACTTCAACTTCATCCATCATTTAAATAAGCCTCTGTTGGTCCTTGTTCATTTCTAGTACAAAATCTACTGGAGAATCAAGGTTATATCATTTAGATATCATAGGAATTACTCATGAAACTGCAGCTAAAATGCTTTATTTATATACATTCAAGAAAAACTTCAGCCCTTTGTCCCTTATATAGTAAAGTTTCCATTTCTGAATTCATCCAGATATCTGTTACCAATAATTAAATAATAACTAATATTAAAATGTACTAATAACATATTCTTTTTATATGCATGGACTTTAAAAATATTGTACTAGCACAAAGAAAAGTGTTTGTGACAGATTAAGCGGGGAAGAAGGCTAGCCACTCTAATGCCTTGGATTAAACGACTAGAAAAGCAATTTAGCTGACATTAGGAATAATAAACTCAGGTCTATATATTTTTCATACATTAAAGAGCAACCTCAGCTAAAAACTGGAGGATTCAGCTTTTCTCTGAAAATGCTTTGTAGCTTTTTAACTAAAAGCTACAAAGTACATAGTAAATTGTGATGGTCAAGGTCGCAGTGAAAAATAGGAGTGGTTGCATCTTGAGTTAAAAAGCCCCTTGCTCATCACACACAACAGACTAGTGTCCTACACCTCAAACAATCCCAGTGAAGTCAATAAGAGTATTCAAGCAATAACATAATTACTCCAAATGGCTCCACTACCTATTGAGAGGACTTATCCTGGATACATTAACACCTCATTGATAAGTGGCAGACTCTCAAGTATTAATGAAATCAATGTAAATTAGTGTTTTAGGTTTATTACATCTCTTACATGCTTTTGAAACATTTTAAAAGAAAACAGTAGTGTTTTAATAATTTCCATGAAGGTGAACAGCAAATGTTTGCAGAAGGAAAACTATAGCCCTGGGTACACAAGGGAAGCGGGATTACAGTCTATCTATATCTATACCTGGACTTAAAAATTACATACATAAAGGCTAAAATTCTGCTCTGAATATCTCCTTGCTATATCTGTTGCAGCTCTAAAGTGGAGGAGGAGTAAAGTCAGATTGGGACTTGTCATATATATTTACTCTGTGTTTGCATATTAGCTTTTCCTTCACTAATCCAGCAGATTCTAAACCAAAATTTGTTGATTACTAGCTTTAAGAGCTTGCATCATTGTCAACTGTTATAGGGGAAAATACCGAGCATTTACTGCTCACAAAGCAGCAGGGTTAGTAGATTATTATTTTTCTTTAACTGTGAATATTTGTATTTCAGGAAAAAAACATTTATCTTCACATTTGCTATTACATATACATTTCTCAGAGAGATATAGGTAGCCATGTTAGTCTAAATTCAAGCATAAGGCAAGGTAAATTTGAACCTTATAGACTAACTAGCTAAACATAAACAAACAAACAAATAAATAAATGAACTGTCATGATCTGGTGCTCAGTTTATCCGCTGCTATGAAGGGAGATGCTCCTCAGAATAACATATAGAATGGAGAGAGTGATTTGAATACAAAAGGCAGGAAGGAAGGAAGAGGAGAGAGAGGCTGAGGGGGCAGTGCTGGGAGTGGAAAACAAGCAAAGAATCCATAGGAACAAAGAGGTCACAAAAGCTAATATAGGTATTGGGATAAGAATCCATAGTCCCTGTTTAAACCATACTTAACACAATCCAGTCTGTGGATGATTTCTTGTTCCACAATTTCCCATTCAAATTGTGCCTGGGATGAAGCTGCAACTTGGCACCAGGGAAAAGCGGCCCCTCCCGCTCACCACTGCCAGGCCCTTTTTGCTGCAGCGGCCCACAGCCTGTGCCTAAGCTACCCTGTGGCTCCTCTCTGCTGCTGTTACTGCTGCCTCTGGGCTGCCCAGCAGGGCAGTGGTGACTGTTCAGAGGAGCCACAGAGCAGCCTGGGTGTGGGCTCTGGGCAGCTGCAGCAAGAAGGGCCTGGCAGCAGCGAGGGGCTGCTTTTCCTCCATGCTGAGCAGAAGCTTCTGCCTGTTTGCTGCCACTGCTCAGTGTGAGCAGGTTTGTCAGGAGCAGGCATGGGGTGGACCGAGGTTGGGGCTGTGCATGCAGGTTCTGGCTGGTCCACTCCTGCTGGGGCAAGTCCGGAGCAGGCATGGGGCATGCTGGGGCTGTGTGCTCTTGGTGGTGGTGGTGGAGAGCAGCCACAGGGCACATGGGCTCAGGGCTGTTGGGTGGTGGAGTGCTGACTATTGTTTAATTGTGCAAATAAAATTGTGATTAATTGCAACTATTTTTTTAATCTCACAATTAATTATGATTAGTTTTTTTAATAGTTTGTCAGCCCTAGTTTTTAAAGATTTGCTGCCCAAGAACACCCACTCAGATTTTAGTGATTGAATGTCCAGGAAGATTAAAGTATTTTGCCACAGGCTTTTGCACGGTTCTGGAGATGACATTAGATTGATGAGCATTCATTCTTACCCATACAGGTTGCCCCAAATGTCTAATGTAGGCAGCTAAGGGGTAGTGTAGGCATGCAATGGCATATATGACATTGATAGAGTTGCAGGTGAATGAACTGCGAATGTTAGAATCCATGTTATTCGCTCCAGTGATGATGTAGGCTGTACTGATGTGGGAACACAGACAGGCCTTGCAGTGAGCCCAGATGTGTGCTGTGCCCCCACATTGTACTAAGCATAATTTAAATAGGGGCTACGGATTATTATCTCATTATACTGTGGGTTCTTTGCTTGTTTGCCTCTTCTAGCACTGCCCCATCTCTCCCCTTCTTCCTCCTCTTTTCCTGCCTTTTGTATTCAAATCACTCCATTCTGTACACTTCCGTAGAAATTCTTATGTATGTTCTTTTACAGAATCTGAGGAAGTGAGTTCCAGCTTACAAAATCTTGTGCTATGTACATCTCTAATTTAGTTTTCCTAAAAGGTGCAAATTGACCTTGCCATATACATCCTCTTCATTGTTTTTGTTTTCTCTTGCCTATGTCCATAGATCTTATTATACAGGATTTTGTACAATCTTTTTTCCTTTCCATTTGAAAAAGTTACAATATTTGTTTGTTTTAAGTTCTTAAGTGGAAAGAGGGGCTGTCTGACAGTTTGTGTACACCTATAAGACAAATATCCTTGCATTTGAGTTTATACAGGCAAAACATTCCTTTTGCCAGTATAGCACAAACAATTAGCAAAATAAGCTATATTGATAAAATAACACTTTTGCTGGTATAATAATGTTTTTGTCTGCATAGCTGGGTCAGCCAGGGGGTGATTCTCTCACACTCCTAATTTGCAGAGCCATGTCAGTAAAACTTTTAGCTATAGATCACTCTTGAGAGCTTTTCATTGTTTTGTTTTACCTCTGCTTTCCTCAGAGACCCTTGGATAAAGTAACATTTCCATAAGCTGGTGTGAGTGTCATATTGGTCCTACAGAGTTACTGAATGATGGGGAAAAATAACAATTAACAGAGAGAAGTGATGTGGTCACAGCAGCAGGAAAGAAATATAATCTAAAGGCAACATGTTAGACTATTGGCAGGGATAAATCAGATGTCAGAAGGGGAAACAGATGAGGTATGCAGTAAATGAAGAAAAAAATGACCAAGCCATGAGCCAAGAATGGAGAGGGAAGTATACATTTAAGATATATAGAGAAACCCACTGAGGCAGGGCTGGGCAATTATTTAGGGAGTTTTGGTAAGCTGTTACAGGGCTGAGTGGGAGGGGAGTGGGGCAGGAAGTAGGGTGGTACTGACCTGACCCAGTATGCCAGGGGGGTGGTGCTGACCCAGCACAGTGTGGGGAAGTGCTGACTGGGTGCAGCTGGGAGGGGTTGCTGACTCTTCCTGGCACAGTGGGGCACGGGAGAGGCAATTGATCCTATCTAGCTGGGGATCATTTGTCATGCACCCACTCCTGGGGGTGCCAGACAGAGCAGGCAGGTGGGCAGGGTCTCCATGGAGACTGGTCTGGGAACCCAGTGTACAGGGTGGATGGCATGGGTTCACAGGTGGGCAGGGAGCAGTGTCTAGGAGTGGGATGGGTGAGTGGGCCAGTTGGGCTCTGCCTCTGCCCACCCATCCCTCTCCTGGATACCACTCTCCACTCACCTATGGCCCCATCCCATCTGCCCAACTGAATGTGTCCTGTCTGCAGGGGTCCCATGCTAGTCTCCATGGAGACCCTGCCCACCTGCCCATTCTGTCCAGCACTCTCAGCAGTTGATGTGGGGTGGACGGGCCAGGGTGCCTGGGCTGCGGGACTGGGTCCAGGAGTGGTGGTAACACTGGCAACAGCAGCCAGAAGAAGTCGCTGCCACTGGGGTTGCTGGGAAGCTGAGTCTGGCCACTGCACCACCCCAGCCCACTGCTTGCCTGGGGGCAGCAGGACTGTTCACATGCACCACAGCCCAGGCTGCCCCACTCCCCCCCACACTGAGTGAGGCTGAGGGACCTGCTGCAGGCTGGATAGAATCCCTTGGTAGGCCGGATCCAACTCACAGGCTATATTTTGCCCACCCCTGCACTAAGGTCAATGAAAGATTGAGTTGGACCAGGCCCTTAGTGGCAATTTGAATGTGTATACACAATACCCGTGTGTATACATGTAAATACAGCTTCATAAAGTTTTATCTCCCCTTCTACTTTATTCAGATATACCCCCCAATTGTATAGATACATCCCAAGTATGTATCCATGTGCACACATACATTCTATCTGGTATATGGATGTACTGTATACATGTATGTTTCCTAGCTTACAGAGACATCTCCAGTTTTATCCATCTAACAAGTATTTACAGGTGCCACTCCCTTGGGGCATAACCCAGCTGTTCTGTGCCCTGGATGCAGGCAGCTCAAAGGGCAGTAGCTGCAGTTAGGCTGCTGGCAGTGGTGTGGCAGCCAGAAGAGTAATTGCAGCAGCTACTATTTTTGTGCCTTCCCTCAGTCAGTGCTCAGAACTGATGCCCTGGTTGCCCTTTCCTTAGTCATATTACTGCTTTCCCCCATGTCATCTGACCCCCCTCTCAAAATAACTTGAATAAGATCATTTTGTGGCATATCACCATCCCATATGTTCCTCCTCCTAACACCCTGACTTTTCCTGATACTCAGGGGCACGTCTACATGAGATATTTACTGCACCGTAGATTAATCAGCTGTGCAAAATATTACACATCTATAAGTGCACCCTTATTAGCCCGGGGTAAATTAACTAACTCCACAGCAAGATGAATACAAGTACTGTCCTGCTGTAGAGTTTTTTACTCCGCAGTACCACACATGTAGATGTTGCTCCAGCTGGCTGGGATATGAGGGTGCTTCAGTGCTAGCTAGCCTTGCATTGGAGCACCCTTGTGCCCCAGGCAGCCCCTCCACAGCACATTGAGCTATGTCAGAGCAGCCCTGGGCTGGCAGGCTTCCTGCCAGCTGGGGCTGCTCCAACTTGGCTCAAAGTGTTGCAGTCCCATGTGCATGTGTAAATGCAGCGCCTGGGAGCAATAAGCCCCAGTGTGATAAGTACTAGAGTTTATTGTATTACATGAATATGCATGTGTATATGTGCCCAGGGAGTTCTAAGCAGTTTATTCATAGAAATAAAAAAAGCAATGGCAGTTTCCATTAAAGTTTTAGGACGAAACTATTTCTGTCCCTTCTCAGTGGCTGTCAATCTATTTAGTTCCCTCACTGAAGTCCCGCTGCTGCTTGGGAGATCTTCTGGAATGTGAATGCACTTTAACATCTGCACTGGAGACAATGAAGCCTTTATGTGAAAGAGTTACTGTAGCTTGCTAGAGTAACAGCAACAGCAAGTGGTGCTCCAGGATAAGCAATGAGGGGGGGCCATAAACTTTCACTAAGATTATTTTCTCATAGTTCTGAACAGAGCAGTGTCTGAGCTACTCCAATGGCTGAATTAACATTCATAAAGGGGAAGTAGACAGCAGTGCAGCAGAGCTCTCCTGGGGCTGTTCTGTTCCCCACACCTCCACCACCAGCAGCTCCTCCTCCTGCTGCTGCCCCTGCTGTACTGCTCTGGGTGGGCAGGAAGGTAGCTTCAGCTGGGCAGCTCCTGCCCCAGTGTCTGGGGCTCTGCTTCCAGCTCTCTGTTGCCTTCTACCCACTCCACCCACCTGCAGGTGACTGATCATCATGCTGGGTGGGCAGAGTGGGTGGAAGGCAGCCAAAAGCTGGAGCCAGAGCTGCCTGGCTGAAGCTCCCCCAGGCACAGAGTGGTGCAGCAAGGGCAGGAGTAGAAGAAGGAGCTGTAGCTGGAGGCAAGGGGAGTAGAACACCCACGCTGGCCCAGGCCCCGACCAGCACAAGTAGCTTCTGGTGGGGCTGCAGCCAGCTAAGTGCTGCTTTGATCCCCTCACCTCCAGTGGTGCCTCCTCCTCCCATTCCTGCCCGTGCTGCACCACTCTGGGCAGGTAGGCAGGCAGGCAGGGGGGGAGCTTCAGCCAGGCAGTTCCTGCTGGAGGCAAAGGGAGGGAATCAACACCAGGAACAGCCCTGCCAGAAGCTGAATATGCTGGGCGGGGCCCAGGCTGGCAGGTGCAGGTTGCCCCAGTAGGAGTGGGTGGGGCTCAGCTCCATGCAGAGTGCTGCGGGGGGGGCAGGCATGGGCTGGATCCAGTCAGTTGGCAAGCCATATTTTGTCCATCCCTTGACTTGGGAGTCCAAGGTAGCTGGATGTTGGGTCTAGCCAAATTGCTTCCTTGTAAATGATATACCTTAACTATGATAGCCTTATGGACTGCTAGGTTTGTGTAGATTTCTGATTGCCTTAGCTCCTCATGTGAATATCATAGGATACAATTCATTTCTGAATGTGAGGTCTTACCTTTTGTATAATTTTCAATTAAATAATCTGATTCTGTTAAAGTGATGGCTAAAGCAATGGGCAGAGCAACAAAGTGCATTTGAAAAAAACACCCTTGGATATAATAATTCATTGTTCAAGTCTATTGCCTGAATCATCATGGGTCAAGAGCTTACTTTGACCTTTAGGCCAAATAAGGACTACACACATGTGTGCATGAATAAATTACTGTACTTTGATCCTATACAGGGCTTTGTATCCCAACGGATTGCCTGATGAATATTCCTTTCTAACTACTTTTCGGATGACTGGAAGCACACTTCAGAAATACTGGAGTATTTGGCAGGTTCAGGATTCTTCAGGAAAAGAACAAGTTGGAGTGAAGCTTAATGGTCCAGCTAAGAGCATTGAGTTTTCTTATATGGGACTGGATGGAAGTCTCCAGACTGCAAACTTTTTGCATTTGCCTTTTCTGTTTGATTCCCAATGGCACAAGCTTATGATCAGTGTGGAGAAGACCAGTGTCACTCTTTTTATTGACTGCCTTAAGGTAGAATCCTTAAACATAAAACCAAAGGGCAAAATCAACACTGATGGCTTTGCTGTGCTGGGAAAACTTAACAACAATCCTAAAATTTCAGTTCCGGTAAGTTTTAAAATCTTATATTACAAAGCAGTTGCTATGACATCTTTTTTCTTGTAACTTACTTCTGGTGAATTAATCTTCAAATATTTTCTGACAGAGGAGGGGTAGGAAATAGGTCTATGGGCTTGAAATTGTAGGTAACCATTGCTTACTGCCTTTCAGACTTCCCACATATATAACTTGTATAAACTGGTTCTAAGTAGGAGGAAGATTATTTAGTGGAGCAGAAACTGAAAGAGTACAGTTGAAGTAACTATGAGAAAAATGGAAACTAGATCCATACAGCTAATAAAATATGCTCTCAAATAGGCACTGCTCTAGACCAGTTATTAAAACATGTTGCATACTGCCTGTTTATGAATTTTGTGTCATGAAGAAGATTTGGTAGCTGCACTTGAAATTACTATGCAATGGGAAAGTAACTGCTACCTAATAAACTAACATTAAGCAGTCTGATAAACTACCATACTCAGTATTACTGTAGTTAATACAGTTACTAAGTTTAATCTTTTTATTTTTTATTCTCATAAATTCAGCTCTCAGATATACCTGAAAAAATCATTAGCTTCTCTAGGGTTGCAGTGATATAGCTGGAAAAAGAATGTTATTCCTTGTTTTCATAAATAGAAACAAAGACATATTTAGTTTTTTATACAAGTGGGGCAAAATTAATGCACTTCCATAATGTGGATTTCTCTTTGAGAGGATGTGCTGTGCCAAGGGGTCACCCTGCCACAGGAAGGACATGGGAATGTAATTGATGGCCTTTTAACAAATGGTGCTGGTTGCCCTTTCTACCTGCCCCATTGCTACATTCCTCAATAGAAACATTATCAAAATAAGTTAATTTTGTTTCTTCACATAGAATATGTATGGTAGGGCAGTTATTTGTTTCATAAATTATTCCAACTTCTCAGTGACACATGTTCCTAACTGCTAGTGTAGGCACCTGATTCCAAAATTTAGACCCTCCAAATCCTGCTCAGCTCCTGCATAAACCTGAAGATTACTACATTCATTTCCACCAACTGAATCTCCTAAATTTCTGCCACTGTTCCCCCAAATGCAATTCAGTTTTGCCTGTAGGTCCAGGAGGCACATCTCAGTATGCACCTACTACATTGGACCTCACACAAAAACCAACAAGAGAGAGTATTTACTGATGCAGAGTTTAAACCTAAGTGTCCCATGTGAGTATATGGGCCATCAGCCTATAGTGCTCTTTCTATGGCTCAACCATAGATTTAATCAATTTCATAGATTTCTAGGGTTGGAAGGGACCTAGTAGATCATTGAGTCTGACCCCCTGCCTCCAGCAGGAAAGAGCACTGGGGTTAAGTAACCCCAGTCAGGTGGTTGTCCAATCTCTTTTTGAACACCTCCAAGGTAGGGGAGAGCACCACCTCCCTTGTATTTAAGTATTTACCAGTATTTAAGTGTTTTATACAAACAGAACCGTTTCAAAAAGTGTCTTGATGTCCACCTTGCTGGAATCATCTGACCCCAGCAGTCTTTCCTGTACAAGTGAGGGGCGGGCGGGGGGGGGGACCCGATGATCTGTAAGGTCCCTTCCAGCCCTTAACATCTATGAAACTAAAGGGATTAAGAAAGGCCCAGTCAAACTTCTCCATAGCCTAGGGCAAAACAGGGGTTAGATTTGAACAAGGATTTCCCTCATCTCAGGTGAATGTTCCAACTACAGTGCTATGCAGTGTGACGGGAACGAAATACAAACACCTCTTCATTTTGCAAGAATGGGCCAAACCTTGCTTAATCAACTAACTCCCTCCACACTGAATATGGTGCTGTGGATTCTATTTCCAACAGGCAAGTACTTAAAAGTTAAGCAACGCAGTGCCTAACTTTGAAGGTATCTAAGCCCTTTATTGGATCTGGGTTTATGTGACTACCTCCCCTACAGAGATGAAGCATAAGCTTCACCTGTGTTCTTACCATTTCCTACTGGCTATCTCATGTGACTTAACACTCAAAATACTGACTTCTGTCAATTCCTTAGGTGCCTAAATTTCCTTATGCTTTTTATAGAGATGATGAAAGTATCACTTGGCATGAATAGTAAATATCTTTTGTGCTCTTTGCTGGGGAAATTGGATTTCAAGAATGTCAGTATGTCAGTAAAGTTATTTTTCAATTGCTTATTTATTTTCAAAGATGAATTATGATTACTGTGAAATACCTAAGGGGAAAGTGTGAAGTATCTACTATTTGTAATAGAAAATAATTTGTAGCTGCCACATCTTCATTCTATCCTGTATGCACTTGAAAAAGTGTTTTCTTAGCTAATGAGTTATTGAGCCACATGTTGAATAATGTCTGTTCTTTGCCTTATGGCAACACTAAAAGGCATTTCAAACTCTGTGCGGGGTATTTTAACACTCGCTTAATAAGGTAAAATAGTTAAAAACAAGGAGAGAAAATTATACAAAGTATTGAAAAATTCAGCATGCTGTCTTGCTTGTCTCATGAATAGCACTTGATTCTCTTTTAATTATCTTAGGAATGTAGAATGTGGCTGGTAATATATAGTACTAGAAAAAGAATATGTTATGGATATTTACTTCAAAATTGGTTGAACTATGAAGGAGAAATCAGGTAAATAATAAACTATAACCAAATTCCATTTCATTTTAGCAGAACTTTGCACTACGCAGTAATTGACAGAAGAATAAGCAATTAGCTGTGAGCTTACATTATCCTATATGATGATACTTCATCTGGTTTCCCATCTGAAAATGCTGCCATAAGCTAATTAACATTGTGTTAAACACTAAGGGGAAACTAAGGTATTTTGCAGCAAAAAAAATCCTCTCAATGAGCACCAACCAAATGCACTTTTTATCTTTCAAACTACCCAGGTATTTATATAAGGACTTTATATATGTATGTAACTGCATTTCATTGATTTAATTTACCTGTGAAATGGCTATTTGGCTAGGAAGCTGTCACTGGTGCCTGAAGATGCCATGCCTTTCAACATGTTGATATGTCTACAACTAGGAAAACATCATAAGCTAAAAATTTAAGTTCCTCTGAAAAAAATGCCATATCTAAAAGTGTGATTCAAAATATAAGGGTGGAGCTGGGAAATTGATGTGATAAGCTGCGTGTTCTCAACTATTAAATTGCTCCCTGGTCTGAGGGATGTTGGATGGATGATTTGTGCAAATTGTGCATGTTTTTAAGGCAACAGCATATCTTCCCCAATTTGTGTTGTACCTGAGAAGGGTTTTAGGGCTATGTCCAGAAAAGGCTTTAGGCATTATGATGGCAACATCCTAGAATGCCTAAATTTTAGCTTCTTGGTTTCTGGAGTGGAATCCATAGGTTACACTCTGTAACCTCCCTGTACCAGTGTTTTTCAGCTAGTAGCCCATGCTCCCAATTGACTGCAGAGATTCTGGGGTGCGGAAGGGTAAAATAAGGATAGATACTGTGTATATTTGGGAGGGGATCAGCTAAGGGTCCTGAAAGCATTCACAGTATCAAGCAGAGGTGTCTTTAAACATTGCACTGTGTGCCTGGCTTCCCAAACAGGAAACAGTACAGTGGCCTCTGTGCAGCGCTTCAGGTTAGCTAATTAAATTATCCCCCGTGTGAACCTAATTAGGTTGGGTGTTTACCACTTGAATACAGCAATTTCTCTTACCTAGAGCACTACCCTAAGGTAGCTATACCATACTAGTTCCACTGGCACTATGGCCTCCCATAGCAGGGGATTGAACAGGTTGAGAATCACTACAGAATGCATAGGTAGAGTTAAGCCAGTCAGCATGGGATACAGCCACCATGCTGATCATGCAGCAGCCTAAATTAACTGAGTGGTAATCCTGAACAGAGGCATGTATTTTGGATCCTAATCCCTCTCATAGATTTAGGAACCTAACTGAGAGTTTCAGACAGGCATCAATGTCTTTTTAAGATTCACAGCCCTGGGCCCTCAAAAACAGAGCATTGATTGCTCTTATTTTGAAATGGTGATTGCAGTAGTTTACAGCAAGGTGATTGGGTCACTTTCCTGGGAAGTGAGTGATCTGGGTTTGGATTCCTTCAAACTGCATAAAACAAAGATGACAATTGTTTTATACCTTAGAAAAATTATCCAAATACTGAGAAGTTTTATACAGGGAGGGCAGTACCATCCCCTTATGTTTTTTATTGGAAATGGCTTTTGATGTTTTTTAATGTTTTCAAATGGCTGCTGCATATTATACAGGGCTCATTCTTTTCAGTTATATTATAGGTATGCATTGGTCACTACTACCAGATTGGTCCCAGGTTGCTCTATCCTGACAAAAAGAAGGCAGTTCTGGACATGCCTAGAAGTATGATTTCAGGTGCCTAAGGATTTTTTCTAGTGAAAACACTTGAAGTTATGTGGGACTTTAGGGGTTGCCCTCTTGGGGTCAGTCAACAACACTAACTTACTGTAGCAGGCAACGCCATGCTGAAACACATAATATTGGGCTGAGTATAATACCTCCCTAGGAGGATGTAGCATAGCTATGTTTGTGCAGTGATGTGCCCATCCTAATTAGCTCAGTCTTTTTGGCAGAATCAATTACCCCATCCACAATATTATATTAAAGCTATTATATTACTTCCAGACTCAGGAAGCAATGTAGTATGTTTCAGCATGGTAGACAGAGCTTGGCACAATAAGCTATTGGTATAGATGCCCTTAGACCTAAGCATCTAAATTCTACTCCTGTTTAGTGTTAAGTACTTATGTCATTTTGTGGATCAGGATGCTATAGTGTCCTTCTTCAGGCACTGCTGCAAGGTCTTCTAATTATGCCCTGTATCTTTATGGAACTGCATGTAATTGTAAGGTGTAGTTGGGAGGAAGATAATTATAATAATTAATGCTCTCAAATAGGGTAAGTGGCACATGTATTAGCTATTAGCTGATGTCCGCATTTACTTGAACAAGAAATTAAATGAATGCAATGAAACATAATTCCAGGAGCAGCTAATGATAC